TTAATAGGACGTAAATCACAAACAAGAAACAACAACATCCGAAATTGCCTATTATGAACTCCTCTATGAAAGTTGTCGACCTACGTCATTTGATCGGGTTTTCATAGACATCTACTGCAATCATCATTCACTCTAAAAACTCACAGAAAAAATTGCTTTGTAGAAGAAAAAAACCACAAATGTTTATATATCGACATCCTTGCAGGGAAAATGCACAACTTTAACTTGATATACCCTTCAAACATTTTCTGATCATGTCCAATATATATATATTGATTTTGCTGCGTCAAGTTAGTCTGATTCGGCTAATAACATTTATATTTACTAGCGTGTAAACTGACATTAGCACGGTAAGATTAACAGGTAGTGACGCTGCCAAGACACACCACTTGTATATGTTGAAGAAAAGAAAAATTCGTAATGGGTGTAGCAGACCAATTCTGATCAATGACCTTTGGCCATCCACTCCAACGTTCCATAGCTGTCGCCTAGACGATCATGCAGTGGTATACAGCAGGCCAATATTTTCCCAGTGTCCCATTACTTGTGGCGATGAAGATGCTAAGTGTTTTACTGTTTGAACTGATCTAGATGATCATGCTGTCAGTTTCTACTCGGTGTATTTGTGGTGTTTCATTCGGTTTTTCAACGCGGTGTAGGTCTAGTTAACCTTCGTCTAAAATCTTAAAATCTACACTGTGCATTACATTTCTCTGAAGCAAGTGACGCTTCTGCTCTTATCTACAGACTCAGAAAATACAGAAAACGGTTTTGGAAACTTTATCGGGTACTTTCCTTGACGTTTATTGCATGTAAGTCGATCCCATTACATTAATGTACATACATTGTCTTTGGTTCGTATCGAAGTGCAATCTTAGCTGGTCGTTTTCCGTACGAGTATTCGAATTCGCCTTGACTTATCCTTCTTTCGTCTGTGAGCTGGGAATATACATAAAGAAACACAATCGCAAAATCTCCGGAACGTAGCCATACGACAAATACTGATCACTGCCCGTACGCTTGAAACACTACATACCACAAAGTTTGATGAGAAATTCCGATACCGATAGGAACGTTATCTAAATAGGCTTGCAAATGACTAGGTTGAGATTATAGGGTTTTGTAGAGTAAGAGCTCTCGTGATCAATTTTCTGTTTCGTTATCTATGTTGTCTCTATCAAATAGATCGAGAACGCCTTGTTATCTTCCCGTCTTCAAGAAAATCTCGAGTTTTGAAAATTTACAACCTACAAATGGAATAAGTCTGCTCTGCAGCAGTTAGATAGTCGTACCCAGCAGTTAGATAGTCGTACCCAGCAGTTAGATAGTCGTACCCAGCAGTTAGGTAGTCGTACCCAGCAGTTAGATAGTCGTACCCAACAGTTAGATAGTCGTACCCAGCAGTTAGGTAGGCGTACCCAGCAGTTAGGTAGTCGTACCCAGCAGTTAGGTAGTCGTACCCAGCATTTAGATAGTCGTACCCAGCACTTAGGGAGTCGTACCCAGCATTTAGATAGTCGTACCCAGCATTTAGATAGTCGTACCCAGCAGTTAGGTAGTCGTACCCAGCTGTTAGGTAGTCGTACCCAGCAGTGTGATAGTCGTACCCAGCAGTTAGGTAGTCGTACCCAGCTGTTAGGTAGTCGTACCCAGCAGTGTGATAGTCGTACCCAGCAGTTAGGTAGTCGTACCCAGCCGTTAGATAGTCGTACCCAGCACTTAGGTAGTCGTACCCAGCAGTTAGATAGTCGTAACCAGCAGTTAGATAGTCGTACCCAGCAGTTAGGTAGTCGGACCCAGCAGTTAGATAGTCGTACCCAGCAGTTAGGTAGTCGGACCCAGCAGTTAGATAGTCGTACCCAGCATTTAGATAGTCGTACCCAGAAGTTAGATAGTCGTACCCAGCAGTTAGGGAGTCGTACCCAGCAGTGTGATAGTCGTACCCAGCAGTTAGGTAGTCGGACCCAGCAGTTAGATAGTCGTACCCAGCAGTTAGGTAGTCGTCCCCAGCAGTTAGATAGTCGTACCCAGCATCTAGATAGTCGTACCCAGCAGTTAGATAGTCGTACCCAACAGTTAGATAGTCGTACCCAGCAGTTAGGTAGGCGTACCCAGCAGTTAGGTAGTCGTACCCAGCAGTTAGATAGTCGTTCCCAGCAGTGTGATAGTCGTACCCAGCAGTTAGATAGTCGTACCCAACAGTTAGATAGTCGTACCCAGCAGTTAGGTAGGCGTACCCAGCAGTTAGGTAGTCGTACCCAGCAGTGTGCTAGTCGTACCCAGCAGTTAGATAGTCGTACCCAACAGTTAGATAGTCGTACCCAGAAGTTAGGTAGTCGTACCCAGCAGTTAGATAGTCGTACCCAGCAGTTAGGTAGTCGTACCCAGCAGTTAGGCAGTCGTACCCAAGCGCCGCGATCAGTACGGAAGTGTATACGTATGGAACGCCAAATTAACATATATTTAAATAACTGCACATATCTTCAATTCCATTGAGGGATCAAATCGTCATATTTGAACATATCTTTAATTAAATTGTACCTATCTTCAATGGAATTGTACCTATCTTCAATTAATTGAAGATAGGTGCAATCATTTTGATATATGTTAATATGGCGTTCCATAAAAGTGTTAGTCCGAATAGTTTGGCTCCCTGGATAAAAAAAAATCGCAAAAACGAAATTCCGGATGAATGAAACACGAAGGAAAAATCAGTAAGCATTACAATCTGATTAAAATCATCTGTTAAGTGGCCTGAACGTAGTACAAAGTTAACGAATCCATGCAACATAGAATTATAGTCAGTTTGTTAATACCAAGTTATGGAATATGAACGCTAGGAACTATATCAGAACTGTCGAAGTCCGGATTAGTGATGTTTGTAGCTTCCGAATATTTATATCGATACCTGAATGAAAAAAATATTAAAACAGAAAAGAAAGGTCTTTGTTTTGACTACCGTTCGAGAAACTCTCCATTGCGTTATGGACCACTGGCATGGGGACACATTTAAAACATATGGAAGAGTTTTTCGTAACAAAAACTGAAAGCAGAACAAATCTATATGCAATCCTTGAATTTAAATAAAAAGGATCACTATTGTCTTTATATAGAGGAAACACAGAAACACTTTTCCTGGCAACTTCCAAATAATTCAGTCTGAAAAAAATATTTAACTTGATCGTTACATAACTTGGTAAAATTTTAAATACAATTTTAACTGAATTTAACAATACAACTTGACTCCATTTTATATAATTTTGTACAAATTGACTCCATTTTATATAATTTTGTACAACTTGACTCCATTTTATATAACTTTGTACAACTTGACTCCATTTTATATAATTTTGTACAACATGATTCCATTTTATATAATTTTGTACTGTACATCTTGATTCCATTTTATACAAGTTGTGCAGCTTGATTTCACTTGATAATACCTATACACTTTATATAACCGTTACAACCTGATACCACCGGTACAATACGGGTTTAATCCGCAATACACCTGAAGACTTGCGCCAGCCGGTTTGGACGTTTGGAAATAAAACATGCATTCGAGGCCATGTTCTCGGATTAACACGACCATATTACTACTACACGTCTAAACCCATTAGTATCTAGTCCTGACTTGGCCTTAACATAAACGCGATATGATAAGAGAATGCGGGGGTCATGTCAATGCTATATTATATTCCCTGAACAACAATGCCAAGATCGTACGGTTGATATAATATCTAAAGGTACCTAAAACGAAGAAAAATCACTTATATCCTTCACCTTATATATATATCCAAGTGTTTTGATTTAATATCTGTCTTCATTACTGAATATTGATATATTAAAGGGACGCCTCAACGTCCGCGGACATATACTCTTTATACCGTATAAACTGTTCAAAATATCTTTGAGGGGTAAAATGATTGAGATGTTAGATCTGGAGCATCCGATTTCATTTTCTTTGTTTTCCTTCTATGCTGGAACATTCGGTTCCATTTCCGGTTTGTTGAGTTTGATGCCTGGAACATCTGGTTCCATTTCCGGTTTGTTGACTTTGATGCCTGGAACTTCGATTTCATTCTCTTTGTTGACCTTTGATCCTGGAGCATACGATTTCATTTCCGGTTTTTTGAGTTTGATGCCTGGAACATCCGATTCCATTTCCGGTTTGTTGACCATCGATGCCATGCTTTTATCTGGTACCCTTTCAATATTATGCGGTAATCATATTTGGTGCAAGTGTACACAATGGAAAGTATCAAACGTTGATAGTTTTGTTATAGCTAAACCTTAAGACTTCAATATTCTGACAACCATTTTATTATGCCGTGTTTAATTCTGTGTCCGTTGCGGACGGGTTTAATCAGAGACAAGATGAATAAAGCTGTAAAATCAAGTCATTTCGAACAAGTTCAGTTCAGACTGATTGAAACAAATATATCGCATCGCAAGAAGTCCAAACAAGATATTTCTAACTGAGTCGTGTTAAAACATTATAAAAGTTACTTTGTATACAGATTCCTTGGTTACCATGTCAGAGTGTCCCGCCATTTTATATCATCGTCCCAGAAACGCTTGTCTCTGTCGCCCTCAATGCTGAACGTCAATAATTGAACTCATTGAAGTCGTAACCTTTCACATGTACGAATCAGTGAGCTAGCCGGGCCACATGAGTGGGCAGTAATTCATCGTTAGTTAAGTTAACTCTATAGGAAAGGGATATCAGGTGGCATGGCGATATGACTTTGGTTCGTGAGAAAATATCGTTTGTAGAAGTCAAAGTGCTCGTTACCTTGGTTCACGGACCGAGACGTGATCTAACACAATAAAAATGTAGGGTAGACGATTTAGACCACAGGTCAGTTAAAGTATGTATACCAGTTACGTCATTTGTAGCGACTGAGGAAAACAACATGCATCTGGATTAATGATATCGTTTACCCCATTACGTCACTGAGCTGAGGAGTATGTCGACCGCAGCAGCAGTCAGACCAATGACCTTTCGTTCAGTGTCCTAGCACGTCGCACTATTTACCTTGTCACGGTGATAATCGCACATTGACGAGAATACTCGTACAAAAGCTAATGTGTCGTCTGTTATAGATTAGAATGTAGGTGATTAAGACTGTGAACACTTTACCTATTCAGCGAGTTACTCCACCTTACCCTCCAAACGATATCGGGACGAATACGTTTTGCCCATTTGAGCGTATTATAAAATACCGGTCAATACTCTTCATGACAGAGGACAAACTGTGAAAAGTCCCGCGACATACTTTAACCGGCCTTCAGAAGTCTGGAGTTATCGAACGAGTGGACAAAACAAGGTTGTTTCTGGTGTACTTTTCATTAGTTCTATGTAGGAGGAAGCTATAGGGTCCCGGAGTGGTGTGTATTCAGTGGACGTAGAACTCGTGCCGTGTAAGTCTTGGCCTGCTGGCATGTGTAAACACGGAGCCGTTGGAACACTTACATTGTCGAAAGCAACGGTGACGTATATATGCACTGAAGAAGTAGAAGATTTCGAGCCGAGTGAAAAAACCCTTATTCTAGCAGAACCGGTGTGTACATTTGTATGCGTGAGCCGACACACTAGGGAAAATTTGAACTTGTGTATATGTAAATGTATCCATACACTCGTGCCTACATGCCTAGAGGTATACACCGTATAGACTTAAAATTCGTGTTGACAATATCAGAGAGGTCAGTCGAGAAACAGACCACGGTTACCGACCGGCTGTTTAACCACGGACTCGCTCCTCCGAACAAGAAATCGATCCGTGTTCCTACTCCAAACAAATGGGTATCTGTAAACGGCCCGGATAGGTTAACAAACGCCCCATGGAGTGCTTCAATGGGCGATTTTCAAGAGCTACTGGAGAAACTATTGGATCATGAAAAGGACATATTGTTGTATTGCTTTCACTTCTGTTACCAACTGTATTAGGGGTTGATCGAGACGGCGGAACTGTTAGTACATTACGGAAAGTGACCGTTAATGTTTTTTACCTGATGCATTGTGTTACCTGGATCTCATTAGATTTCTACAGTAAAGATAATGACACTTTAACTGGTGGAAATGAGTAGGAATGGTTTTCATTGATGCTAAAACTTTGGGATATACGGGCTACGTCAATGAGCGGGATATACAATAGCTTATATCTGGACAGGTGTGAAAGCCAGCAGAATGACAGGTGAGTTTTACGTGTGTGTGTTAACGTCATTGATCTGTTTCCATGGTAATGATCGATGCTTGTCATATACAAAAATCCTTCCAGGATATGCGTTAGTGATCCCCAGGGATATTGATGAGATGAGCCTGCTATCAGCGTTTTTGGACGAGAAATGACAGGTGTTATTATTTATATAAATATGATAGTTGAAAGGCCGACAAAATTATCTGAACCTCTATCTTAGCTTACTTATGAGAAGATAATTTTGTCATTATCATAACAACAACGACGACAGTGTAAAATATAAATATATACAATTGCGCAGAATCGTCGATTCAAGGTTTCATACAAATAGTCTAAACAAGATACACGGAGAAAGGTTCGCTAACGATTTCTCCCCACAAAGACCTTCTGGTCTTGTTACATTTTACTTTAGTGTCACTGCTTTGGAAACGTTGTTCTGAACAATATCATTGTATAAAAAATAGTTTGGAATGCGATGTTATTTTCATTAAACTTACTCGGACACATTGTAAATCGGAAGAAAGCTTGTGTAACAACACTTTCTGGTAAAAACAAATTTAAGGAAAATATAGTACGTGATTTGTATGCTGACTATGCTTCGTATTTCTTACGAATGGCTCCGTTTCACATTACCGGTGTACAGCGATAGACGTAATTATGTGGGTTCGCTCTGTTTCATTACGCACCAAGCTTGCATGCACAACAATAGTTGCCACATTATACCCAAATACATACACCTTGTTTGTTACGTCCGTAATCGCTGGCAATACTCTTCAATTTACACAAGTTCCCTTGAAGATCTGCAAGATAAACGCCACAAACAAGACATGTATATATCGCCGAACACAAAAAAGAACTCTTGACTCGAACCACGATTGTAATCGGCTGAAAATAAAATCAGATAAACATGTACACTTTCTTGTTTAACCTATTTGTGGTGTAGGTCGGTATAAATGTTGTTGTGTAGATCATATGATGGAAAACGTTACAGATTCCGGGCTGAACACAAAATACCCGCGTATCATGTGATTAAGCTGACAATGCTTTGAGTGCTATACGGCTCTAATTAGAGGAATCAGTGTTGTTAGTGTTACGTTGTGCGGTGATGATTCAGTCAGAATACCCGTATTGATCGCTTATTGACACACCTGTAATTATACAGGTAAATACACATATATCTGTTGAGAACACGACAAGGTTTTCAAATCAATTACTAAATAGTGGAAGTTTTGTTTGATCAATATCCATACGGACATACCATCCCTGAAATGCAAATGTTGAGATTTGAAAAGACAGTGACTAGTAATTCTAAACGCTTTCCTATTTAAATAAAAATAAAAAATACTCATGTAGCTTTTAGAATATTACATTGGTAAACATTTCCCCTATAATACTCCAATTTGCTGATCCTTTTTCGCAATGACGGTAGTCTCAGGTTTTATAGATGAACACATAGCCTACTCGAGCTCTGTATGTATACTGGAGACATTCATTGAAATGGGTTCCCTGCTAATGGTCCTCCACGGTAGGGAAGAACAGGTTTGTGATACGTACAGCGGTCCTGTATAATGCTATGTAATGAAATAACCTATACCTGCGCCTTTTCCTAACGATCTAGGGTAATGTGAATTCAAGATATGTTTAAACATCCCGCCGAGCTCCCTTTAAGCCATCTCATATGAACACAGTACAAGTAGCCCTGATATTTGATATGTGTGTATGTGCGTATTTTTTAAAATATTTTAATGTAAGTTATCCTACATACATGTACGAAAATAAAAACGGTTCAACATAGATTTCCCCATGTATCCAGGTTCCGCAGTACGATATCCCCTATATACAGGTTCCGTAGTACGATATATTTTGTATCCAGGTTTCGCAATACGATGTCCCCTGTATCCAGGTTCCGCAGTATGATTTCCCCTATATACAGGTGCCGTAGTACGATATCCCCTGTATCCAGGTTCCGCAGTACGATTTCCCCTGTATCCAGGTTCCGTAGTACGATATCCCCTATATACAGGTTCCGCAGTACGATATCCCCTATATACAGGTTCCGCAGTACGATTTCCCCTGTATCCAGGTTCCGCAGTATGATTTCCCCTATATACAGGTTCCGCAGTACGATATCCCCTATATACAGGATCCGCAGTACGATATCCCCTATATACAGGATCCGCAGTACGATATCCCCTATATACAGGATCCGCAGTACGATATCCCCTATATACAGGTTCCGCAGTACGATATCCCCTATATACAGGATCCGCAGTACGATATCCCCTATATACAGGTTCCGTAGTCCGATATCCCCTGTTTCCAGGTTCCGCAGTACGATTTCCCCTGTTTACAGGTTCCGTAGTACGATATCTCCTGTTTACAGGTTCCGCAGTATGATTTCCCCTATATACTACTTTCGCAGCATATACACGTGCTTTCAAGTATATCTCAAACGTATGTGCAATATATGTGAAATATTGCAATATGATTCGAGAAATCGGCCAGCGCTCGTGTAACCTGGAAAACGTGTTTTATATTAAGTGTTATTTACATGTAATTGTATACGGAAGTTTTGAAAGCATTGTTTTGGTCAAATCACAAACACGATTTCAAACAAAGCTAGACTTGTATTGGCGCTAGGATTTTAATTCGAACCGACGTTGCTGCAAGTAATTGTCAATAAACCTGATGGAAAGAGCACTGGGCTTGTAAACACAAATGTAACCCGGCTCGAACCCTAAAGTACACAAGGCCGGCCAAAGAAAAATATTTGTCGTCAGTCGATCTCGAATGCAATTGAATTTAACGATTCCACTTAAGTAAAGGTCACACCAAGAGAACGATTTGTTTTTACGAGTTTCAAATGATTTGACGAAGATGGCGATCGGGATTACAAAACTCGTGTTGACATAGGACGTCTTAAATTCACATTTGCTTTCTCCGGACATAACCGCGCCGACCTATATACCAGTCCACGGAATATTTCACGGAGTCGTAAGAGGTCTCGCTCGTGATAACATGAAAAGTCCGACTACCAAAGTGTTTTGAATTGACATGTCAATATTTGTTTTGTGTGAGTTTGAATGTGTTTTGTCGATAATTATGGATCCTATTTCTGTTGACCCTGACCAAATACGTCTATTTGTATTTCGTCCCTTTCCCCTCGTGTTATATATGAGAGACCATGCATTACCTATAACTAAGCATATTTATCCGAAATGAAATCCGTTCATTTTCCTTAGGAATGCGATACATCCTTAAACACAAAATCTGTATTAATTACTTCTTGAAAAAATGAAAATTAATATTTCATGGTCGTAAGAGATAACGAAATTCATTGCTAAGACGAATATGCTCAGTATTAGCCGCGAGCTTATTTCTAATGTGTCTAATTACACTGTAGCGTGGCTATCTAATCGTTTAAGAAGCTTTGTATCGGGATAGTATTAAATCATGTAGTCAGCTTTAAACTTTGTTCAGCGATAACGTTCGTCAAATATTTACATGGAATCATACACACACGATTATCAGCTCAGAAAGACTCGGAAACACTACCAGACGGTTAGTTTTAATGATAACAGTCGTCTCCGGGCCTAAATCAACAAAAATACACTTAATTATGAGTAGCTGTGTTCATACATGAGTGCACTGTTTATTTTGATACAAGTAGACACATGTTTGTTGACACTGACATACCTCAGGATTTCCTGATTCGGATAAAAATGTGCATTACTTGTCCAGAGCCTAAACAGTGGTTTGTAGCTCAGACCGATGTCGTAGATTTGGGCAAATAGGTACACCGCTAGTTTAGAACCTTGACGGAGGTTTGAGCTAATGCAGAGGTTCGAGTTATTAGGTACACCTCTAGTTTAAAATCTTGACGGAGATTTGGAGGTTTGAGCTAATGCAGAGGTTCGAGTTATTAGGTACACCGCTAGTTTAGAACCTTGACGGAGGTTTGAGCTAATGCAGAGGTTCGAGTTATTAGGTACACCGCTAGTTTATAAGCTTGACGGAGGTTTGAGCTAATGCAAACATCTCTAGTTTAGAACATTGACGGAGGTTTAAGCTAATACAAACATATCTAGTATAGAACATTGACGGAGGTTTGAGCTAATACAAACATCTCTAGCTTAGAACATTGACGGAGGGTTGAGCGAATACAAACATCTCTAGTTTAGAACATTGACGGAGGTTTGAGCTAATACAAACACCTCTAGTTTAGAACCTTGACGGAGGTTTGAGCTAATGAAAACATCTCTAGTTTAGAACATTGACGGAGGTTTGAGCTAATACAAACATCTCTAGTTTAGAACATTGACGGAGGTTTAAGCTAATACAAACATCTCTAGTATAGAACATTGACGGAGGTTTGAGCTAATACAAACACCTCTAGTTTAGAACCTTGACGGAGGTTTGAGCTAATAATAGCACCTCAAGTTTCGAACATTGACGGAGGTTTGAGCTAATAATAGCACCTCTAGTTTCGAACATTGACGGAGGTTTGGCGTTTTAAATGTATTTTGGCGTTTTGTATTTCTAGAGTCCAGAGTATTGATGGACTTTTAGGTGCATAGGTCAGGTTTATCAAGGTCAGCCCCTGAACAAAACGAGCAGTTTAACGTTTTTCTTCGTTTTAAAGTAATTAATGTTTTCTATTACGTTATTTTCATTGAGACTGTGCGAGAAGAAAGAAAACTTAATTTGATCCATACATGCCAGAGATTGTAGATCAACAAAATGTTGTCCTCAAAGCCAGCCTTATACGGTCATGCATCAGGATCAAATAGGTCTAAGTTTTTCAAACGAACCCGCAATAGATGTGAAGTGAAATTTATCATCGTTAAAATGTCACCTGTCATCCTCCTACCTAGTTATATACCTATAGACCTGCTGCACGTAAACCAGAATGGTGATTGCAATTAATCATAGTAATAGTTTTCGCATTCGTGTATTGCTATGAGCATATGAACCTATGTTTATATAACCCATCAGTG